TGATCAAATTGAAGGGGGGGCCGAGACACTTATTATAAGCGTTCTGATAGCATTTTAGAGAAAGGATTTTTATCAAAAACATAATGTGCACAAATAAGGAATAGTTGTATTAACCAAACATGTAAACAGAGTTTTATGGGGCCCTCAGGAACTTGGGGCCCTAGGCAACTGCCTAATGGTAAATCCCCCCATCCCCGTTGCAGACCTACATCAAATATGATTCCCTTCATTCCGAATCCCTTTTAAAAGCTAATAAACGGCCGAGTCGCACCAACAGACAGACAACCAGCCCATCTGAAGTCGTCCCATTAATGCCTCGTCAGCACTTATGTGACACACAAACACATGAAAGGACCCCCCTTCCACCCCAGAGTTTTACAGCTGTACCTTAGGGGGGTGTGATAATTGAGGGCAAACACTACGAAAGGCAGACAATATGTCGACAGGAGCCACATGGTAGACCACAGCCTCTACTGAACTGCTGATCTTATTAACATGCAGATCATGCTTGGAGATTAATACAGAGAATAAGGTTGAAAGATGCAGATTTCTCTGCAATACAAAAAGAAAAGACGAAAAAACAAGGAGGAAAGTCTCTGGATGTTCACATAACAGGAGCAGAAATGGAGTACTACACCGACTAAATTATTCCCTGGATGACTGGTCTGTCAACACACTTGTTTCTTTCAACTATAAAAAGGAAAAAATAAATAAGTGCTACTTATTTATTTTGTTACTGTGTTTCTACAATAGTTGGGTTTAAGTGAGGATTTAGGATGAAGAAAGGAGATTATTCAAAGGTGAAAGTGAAACATCGACAGCAACTCTGCAGCAGCTGAAAACAAAACCTCATAAAGGGAGTCACCAGAAGTCTGCTACATTCCATGAATTCCCAGTTTGAAAGACACATCGAATGGGAATTCTTCTTTGGTGCTTGGAAGTATTCAAATTCAAGTTCAAACGACATTATTGTTTGTACCGCCTGTCAAAGAGTCAAAGAAACTCTAGAGAGTGCAGCGTTGGCCGGCTATGGTTAACCTGAAAACAGTTTGAATCGCTGCTAGAGGGAAGCACCTGTGCCTCAACCCACAGAACAAACTGGTTAGAGATGAATCAGCTGGAACAGGAGGAAGTAGAAAAAAAAAGCTTAAAACGAGCAGTTCATCTCAGAGATCACCATCAGCCTTGTCTGTTTTCATCTCATCTGGACAATAAGCGGCTGAACTGCAAATAAGCTCTTAATCTTTTATTTGATATCGCCACCAAGCAACATCATTCCTAGATATGATATTATTAACTAATTTTAATACTCTCTTAATTTTCATAGGATTCAAAAACTCTTTCAAACAAGCGGCTGCACATTTTGTTCCTCTTATGGATCATTAACCTCAGAGAAACATTTTATAAACCGTTTTTCAGAACTAATAGGACAGAACAGATTCGTGCATCCTTATAAACTAAAGCAAATCACTCCAAATAACCTTCTCATATTTGGATTTTAAAACGCAGCTAACCAAGAATGGCTAACAGATCATCATTGCTTTGAACCAAACCAGTTAGATGCAAGTTTAATACCTTCATTCTTAAATAAATGAGAAACATCCTGGATCGTTTATGTTCCTGAAGCTAAAGATTATTTTATTCAGCTTGTTTTAAGGCCGTTACAGATGGGTAGCTGATCCCTGATAATTGCTGATTTTTTTTAAGGAGCTGATAAGTTTTATCTTCCTCAGTTTACATAATAAAAAGGACACGGTGAGAACAAATGCTAAACAAATTGAACACAAAAAATATACACAATGTAAAACAAATAAGGGAGTAGGAATTAATGCATGTGATCTAATGCACGGCTGCTGAATGCACCAATGAATCAGCAAATGCATAGATGTATTGGGCAAAGGAAGAAAAAACAACACTGATATTGTCTAAAGTATCAGGCAGCTGATGCCACAATCATCAAACAGGCTCAATATTACAGAAACCTTTAAAAAGAAAGGTTCCCCAGCTAAAAACTGGATTAGCTTAACTCTAAACAGTTGTGTGAATACTGTGATCTGCATCGGAAAGCTACTGCACTCCACTTCCTGGTGTTACAAGACTGACAGCTTTGTTTGGACAGATTTCTGGTCACATGAAATCACCTAAGGAGTCATGGCGCAGAAATTAAAGGAGCCACATCCATCACTCTAATAAAAGGTCACGCTGGTTGAAAACTGCAGCTGGCAGGCTAAGGCCTGAACAGCCGACTGCACACCAGCTACCAGAGAAGATGAAGTCAAAGAACAAGCAATAAATTCAGCTTCTTATACACCAACTGTCACTATTAAAACAAGATGATGAAAACAGGTATAATAATCTGTTCAAAACGCACAATTCAAAACTTAATTTAGTTATTTTATAAGCAGGACTTATTTCTAATTTTCAGTTGAAGTAATCAAAATTATTTTACTTTTTTTTGTCTTAAAAGTGTGTAAATAGTGTGACATCTTGCTGAGAGAATCTCAATGTGTTTAAATTTAGCACAGAAATGAATCACAGACTGAACTTAAAATGATTTTAGCCAAAACAAACCATCAAACTGTACATATGGATAAGTTGATGGCGCGGAGCAGGGATGGCTGGACTGCACCCTCCACCAAAACAATGCTCCTTTGGTTTGGCAAAAAAAAAAAAATCTCGTGATCATGAAAGGAAATAATCCACCCAACCCCCCCACAGCACCGCACAGGTTCCACAATCCCCAGATCTAAGAATCATGTGATAACAGAAGCCGTCCATCACCATCAATTCCTCTCAATAATAAAGAGAAAGCTGGGGGAAAAAAAACCCTGACCATCCAAAGAAACCGACCTAATGTAGTATTTTTACCTGCTTGGATTTAATCAACATATTCTAAACTATTTGAAATATGAAATGTAGAAATAAGGTTTACAGAAAGAGGGTTAGCATTGTTGGAGCAGGTCGCATTTGGAGCCCTTTAGACAGGCTGAGGGTGATTAAAATTCCTGATTAACCTCGGAAATCACTTCTTAAAACCTAAAGGTTTTAGCCTGGAGCAGGGGTCGGCAACCCAAACTGCTCAAAGAGCCATTTGGACCAAAAAAAACAAAAAATAAATCTGTCTGGAGCGGCAAAAAATGTTAAAGTCCTATATATAACTCGTATGGCAACATGGACTCTAAGTGTAGAAAAGGACAATGTGGGCTTAAATGTATAATAAACATTCATGATTAAATGTTTATCCTGGAGCAACTGTCACATAGTAGCATGAGGTCAGGGAGGAGCAGTGAACGCTCTCACCGCGTGCCGCTTCACTGCGCGGTTTAAGTTTTGTTGCATTGATGAAATTATAGAAACACAAATAAATGAATCTTTCTATGGTGGACGTGTTTCTGTTGGGAGGAGTTGATTGAGTTCATGAGGAACCAGCAGGAACTGACATCCATCAGAGCAGAGCTCTCTAACCCTGAAATCCCACATCCTTCGTCACCGTCGTTCCTTGGTGTGATTTATATTTTTAGGATTTGGGGATAAAAATGGAAGAAAGTTCCCATCCCTGCATCAGAGCCCTACCTGTTTGATCTGTGGACGGTTTGCCATCCTTGCAACCAAACTAGCAGCAGTAGTGGAGTTTGGAGATGCAATCCACTTTTTAAATCTTTCTTTGCGCTCCTCTAATTTATCCAGAAGTTCTGCAATCGCACTTTTTCCTCTCCCTCCCAACTTGGTGGTTGGCTGCATATTTAGCCTTCCCTGGATATGCTTTTCCAAATTTTTCTTTTTATTTTTGGCCAACCTCTCATTACAAAGCAAAAAAGCAGGCAATCATTCAGCATTGATAATGAAAGCAAATGATTCGGTCTATTTGAATCCTCTTTTCTCAAAAGCTATCTTCCTTTTTTCCCTTTGGAATCCATGGTCCGAGACACGCCTGCAGCTTTGTTTGCCTGGCACCGCGCCACGCCGGTTACAAGTTATGACCACTGATCTCTATGGCTATGACGCAAATTATTGTTTACCTTTATATATTATACAAATATTTACAGCATTAGAAAACATAATTATTGTTTATTTGACCTCCTGCAGACCATATATATATATATAAAAAAAAAAAAAAAAAATCGATTTTCATACATTTTTGAAAAAGCTCCAGGGAGCTGCAAGGGGGGCGCTAAAGAGCCGCGGGTTCCTGTGGGACAAAGGGATTTACAAAACAAAGTAACTTTCAAAGTAAGTTTCTTCTTTTTTCTTTTTACAGGAAAGAAGAAAAATAACTATCAAATTCAAACTCCAAGTTGTGAGTTCATTCACAGGGGGAAAACACTTTTCTACTGGGATTAAAGTGGGAGACAAACATTTCTACCAAAGAAACCGCTGTATCCATCAGGTGTGCATCCAGCCAATAATCTGTCATCACACAACTGCTTCCCCACTTCCGACTTTCTAAAAATGAAACTGAAATCGTACAAGACAAACTGCCCTGCTCAGCCTAAATCCCAGCTGGGATTTTGTAGAAATGTGCAGGCAGGAAAATAAATAAATAAATGTTGGATCGCCGTAGACATTTGATAAAGATGAGAGGTGCCTCATCAGACAGCTAGAAGATAATCATCTTTCCTCACAACCCAAACAATTGATCCGCTCTCATGGAAAAAATGCCAGCAGACGACTTAATTCTAATGATTTAGGGAGAAAAGTGAGTGAATGCCTCTTACCCATCATCCTCTCCGTCTGCAGGCTTCAGGCCGGCTGGTGCGGTTAAGGCATTGGCGGCGTTGGTGTTGCCCTCGGTTTCCTGACCTGGGCCGGTGTTTGATCCAGTGTCCCCGCCGGGCAACTTGAGAAAGGACTGATGCTGGAGGAGCAGCCTCTGGGCGTCCTGCAGCTGCGTGGTGGTGAAGCTGGGCAGACTGGCGTACAGGGCGTTGGCCTGGGCGGCGTGAGCCAGGGCCTGGGCGCTGCTGGAGTCCTGCGTCAGGCTGATGGAAGATGGCTGGGGGGGCATCCGGGGGACGTTGGCGGCCTGAGGCTGAGCCAGGTGATCGTTATGAGCACTGGGTGGAGGGACGCTGGAAGCCGATGCTTGGTTCTGATGCGCTGCGGCGGGAAGCTGGGTGTTAGGCCCTGTGTTCTGTATTTGAGTAGGAAGGGACTGCGGCTTCTGCTGAACGTCGACGTGGCCTTGGAGGTTCTGCGGCTGTCCCAGACCGGTTAACCCAACATGCGGAGGCATACTGGAGGCGGGGGGCTGCGTGTGAAGGAGCCCCTGGGTTTGCTGAGGTCCACCCATCATCGGCGTAACACCGTTAGCTTGGCCAGCTGGTACTGTACCCGCTTGGTTAGAAAGAGGTTGAGAGGCAGCGGCTTGGGGTACGCCTTGCTGTGATTGGTTGTACTCTGGTGGTCTAACCGACACCGGGGGTGCTGGAGGGGATGGGGCCGACTGCTGCGGAAGGTTGGGGTAGCTAATCTTTTGCTGCTGGATATTCACTAAGCCCTGCGAGGAGTTTGGGGCTTGATTAGCCACTGCCTGGGCGTAGGTGAGCTGCTGCGGCGGAACAGCACCGACGGCGGTCTGCTGACCGGGCATGGCTGCAGGTTGATGGATGTTTGCAGGAGCTGAAGGGGCTGCAGCAGTCTTCCCATGAGGGTGGCTCATATCCTGGATATGCATGTGAGCTTGGGATTGAGGTACTCCAACGCTTAGGCCACTGTGGATTCCTTGATAGCCCTGAGGAGGGGAGGCATAATCCTGGGCATGCTGGGGTCCAGGGGACCCGCTAGCCTCACCACTGCCCATGTTCTCGATGTAATGGCTCAGTGTACTAATAGTGCTGCTCACAGAACTTCCACTTGTGCTTTCCCTCTCAGAGGCCCCCGCAAGGCTCTCCGTCATGAACTGACGCGAGCTGAGAGATGCGGCTTCAGACACAGAGGCGGAGGGGGCAGGCGTCGGTGCGTCCTTGTCGTAGAACTCTGTGCACATCCATCTGCCCTTCTTGAACGGCTCGGAGCTGGAGTCCAGCTTCACGACCCGGAAACGGGAGGTGGTGGCGGTGACTGCAGGAGCAGGGACAGCTGAAGGCACAGCCGCTGCGGGAAGGCTCGCAGCTGATCCAACTCTCCCCTGGATCCCGCTGGGAACTCCCCCGCCTCCAGAGGCACTAACAGAAGCAGCGCTTGCAGTAGTCATGGAGTTGATGTTTTGCTGTTGTTGGATGGGGTTGATATTAGCAGCAGACACGTGGCTGGCTCCAGTTAGACCCCCGCCACCAGCGCTGCTCATCACATTGGGGGGGAAGCTACCGCCGCCGCTGCTGCCTGCACTCGTGCCGATCCCCCCTCTGACAGGCACATTGGCAGAGCCCGACATATTCACATTATTAACACTGCTGCTGGTCGGGGGATTAACAACACTAACTGTAGTGCCTGTTGCAGAGCTGTGCATTCCAGGGGCCGATCCCGGGGCCACGATCCCCACTGACTGGGGGACTATAGTTTGAGGGGCAGCATGGGAAACATTCTCTTGAGGGCCGCCCACGTTAGAAGGCATTTTCTGGGTGAGAGAAGGTAAAGCTCCGGTCAGAGGGTATGTCTGATTAGGGTTCAGGTGGTGATGATGATGCATAGTGCCGTTTACGATGGCCCCGCCACGCTGCTGGGCCTGGGTCAAGGTACCAGGATGAGAAGGCTGGTTGGGGGACACGGCTCCGGGGGTCTCAGCCTCCTGGAAGTTATTCAAAGTCTCCTCCGAAGAGCTCCTCTCCGCTCCGACTGCATCGTTAGCTCGTGAGAGGGATACATCCAAGATCTCAGAAGATGACAGATCCTCTGTATGAGACTCATCCAAGTCATCATAACTCTCTGTGTCCTCAGCAATGCTGTTATTGGTACTAACTATCGTAGCTGGAGTCACACTTGTGATCTGAAAACCACTCTTCTTTTTAATCTGAGCTCCAGTCTGCTGGGAGGGCTGAGGCTGGAGGTTCAAGCTGTGCGGAGGAGGGTGATGGGGGCCCGGGGAGGACGAAGCAGCGGGAGGCTGGATCAACAGGGAGGGCTGGTAGTCCTCGGCTGAAACGTGGCTGTTGTTGACGGTGGCTGACAGCGTGGAGCCGCTCCCGCTGCTCGTGTTGCTGCCCCTCCTGTGGAAGACAGTCGGATGCGGCATCTTTCTGACGCTGCCGGAGTCTCCTGCAGGCTCCGGATGATGCATTCCGGCTGAATCCGGGCGGTAGTTGCTCTCTGACAGTGGGTTATAAGGCTCGTTAGCGGCGCCGTTTTGCCGAGACTACAGTTAACAGACAACCCAATTAAAAAAAATTAACAAATCTAAATGATTAATTATATTTCCAAAGCAAAGCAGTTGTGATATCAACCGCCTCTGATGCGTTTCCCCCCCAGAGTCAGTTAGCGAGCCGACTGAAGCTAGCAGCTAGCGAGCTAACGTCAGCTGATGCCAGTCGTACTTCGCCGGTTGATTCGTCAGACTGCGTCTTTGTTAAGCACAAAACATCCCCGGTGGTTTTTTAAAGGATATGTTGTCTCTCGGTGGAAACAATCACCCGCAGCGAAGCAGAAGCAGAGTAAGTTATTGATAATTTAGCTGCAGCTAGCTGCCAGTCTCCATCACCGGTTAGCAGTCTACAGTGAGCGAGTCTTTAACTGCTGAATTAACTCGGAGGAATCCAAAATGAACAAATCCACTCTTTTCAATCGGATGACGTTGATGTAAAAGCGGTGTGATCACTTAACAACGGAGTGCAAAGGTTTCCTCCATGCCAGCTAGTCCACGTTTTTAGTTTTGCTGTATCACCGGTCCTCTCCCCCAGCGGTAGCGTCTCCTGCTCTGGCTGCTGTGACGGGACTGGAGAGGAGGGGTGCTCTCAGTAATATGGCGACCGCGCATGGTCCCTGCTGCCAGACATAAAGCAGTCTGGGTGAGGCGCCGAGCTCAACATCAACACTGACGAAAGGGGACGAGAGGCGACGGAAAGCGCCGAGCTCAAAAAGAACGGATGCGCGAAAGGCACGAAGGCTGACGGAGAGGGCCGAGCTCAACAGTTTTTTTTCTGTTTTTTTTTTTTTTCAACTTTATTGATAAGGATATTAATTTACATTTTCAAGAATATCTACTTAAGGAACACGATTAGGGCCACTGACAAAAAAAAAGTTATCTGCTTTTCAAATTTTATTCGCTATAATATGAGAAAAAAAGTCAGAATTCTGACTTTAATCCTAGAAATCTGACTGAATTCTGCCAGCTATCAAACATGTTAGCATTAACCCGTAGCCATGTAAAAAGTCACCTGATTCCATTATTTCCACCAATGTGTTACTGTTCCTCCCAAACAACTCACATCTTTGTCAGTGAAGCTGAGTGCTCCCACATCTCTTCCTTCACGGTGCACATCTAAATTAAGATCCAAAATTCTGAGAATAAAGTCAGAATTCGGAGAAAAATCTCAGTATTCCGAGGAAAAAGTCAGAATTCTGAGATTAAAGTCAGAATTCGGAGAAAAATCTCAGTATTCCGAGGAAAAAGTCAGAATTCTGAGATTAAAGTCAGAATTCCAAATGTTTTTAGTGGCCCAAATCCTCTTCCATACCACGTTGCAGTCATAAGAGTCAAAAGAAAAGAAAAGAACAGTTATATACAGAAGATAAACTTAACTTGTGCAAGGCAAAGGGAAATAAATAAACAGGCATTTACATTAATTCCAATGGAAGCATGCAAAACCAGTCTCCAAAAGTATAAAAAACATATAACACATGTAGGTTTTTAAATCAACAATTAGCAGAGACAGACCCATTTCAGCAACGAGACAATTCCTTGCATCATGTTAATTTCAGCATTTTGTCGAGTCAAAGCACCAGAAATTGTGACATGTCACCACAAATGTTCTGTTTATGTCCATATTTGTCAGTTTACAGAGATAAAGATGAATAGAAGATTTTGAGTTTGTTCTTGAAACCTATTTATGAAAGTTTTAGATTTTCCATTTGCATACATGTATGTGATATTTTACGATACTCATGACTGTATCGACCATGTCAGATATATCCTTTGCAATGTAAAATGGTAATATTTGATGTATATCAAAAATGACCTGTGACTCGAGTAAAACAGATGTTCAATAGTTTAGGTTCATTAAGGCAAAAACGCAGGCATCAACCTCAATTCCAAATCTTTTCTTCAGATTTTCTGCTGTTGGATAATAACTATTCATAGTTTTATATTGTACTTCTTTTACTTTTGGTGGAATTGGCCATTTTCAATATTTGAAATACTTTTCTTTTACCCCATTCATAAATTATTCACATTTTTGTCATTCCAGTAACATCATGAAAGGTTTTACATTTAAAGACTGTCCTGATAAAATGGGGGCCGAGCTCAGCGTTGACACCATGGAGTGGAACGAAATCAGAGCGAAAACTCTCACCTCCAAATGTCAATCAAAAATATTGCAAAGATTTATGGAAATTACAGAATTAACTCACCATTCTTAGAAAATTACAACATATTTATGTTATAGCAATACACTATATCATTATTGTTATAATTGTTAACTACATTTACAGTAAAACAACATATTTGGGGTGAAATGCATCAAATAAATCCAGATTAATTTATTCAATAAATGATAAGGTAAGGGCATAAATTGGTTCCAGGACAGATTCACACGCTGGTCGCTGGTTGTAATGTGGACAGATACAATAGACTAAAAATAAACATTTGTGGCAGGCTGAGCAAAACATCATCACCACAACAGAGCTGGCCAAACAAAGGTAAACAGAGAGCTGCTGGATCTCTCTGCAGACACAGGTGTTGACCACAGTGAAGGATTATTCTACACACAGGTAGCTTTTCAGGCCTCTGTCTCCCTCCTGGGTGGGAGAAATGTCCAAATTTGTTGGACAGCCGTGCTGCTGCTGCAGGTCAATGAACTCCAGTGTTGAACCAGTCAAGCATGTTCATGTCCTCTGTGCTCTGGGGCTTTCTGATCATCTCTGGAGATTCGGATCCAGTTTTCATTTCAGCATTTTTTTGTTGTTTAATTCAGAGGACAAACCCTTAGATGTGGTTTTAGTTTCTCTGCAGGATTAGTTTCTGTTGCAAGAGCATCAATGCTCTTTTTACTTTAGACATTTTATCACTACACGAATAAAACTAAAGCAGTGTTTTTTTAAAGCAGGGATACAACAACACAAAGTACTGCATAATTGGGTAGTGGAAGGAAAAGAGTAATTGGTTTTAGATAGTGTTTATTACCCAGGGCTGCTGCACATGTTTTTTTAATTTGCTTTAGCTCTGGCTGTATGTTTGGGGTTGCTGCTCTGTTGGATGATGAACCTTTGCAGCAGCCTCTAATTTGTTTGGTTTGTTTGTTTTACAGCCTCTAATATGTTTAACTCTGAGATGGTTCTAAATTTAGCCCCATCCCTCTACCTGTTATCTTTAAGCTGCCCCCTGCTTCACAAAGTCTTCTCCACAGTATAATTCTGCCGCTACCGTGTTTCACTTAAGAATGTTGTGTTCAAGATAATGAACAGGGCAAGTTTTCTACCATGCAAAGCATTTTGCATGAAGAAGAAAAAGGTTCTGTGATGGTCTCATCAGAGCAGAACACATAATAGTCCCACCTGAGCTGCGTCTCTCTGCAGCTCCTCCAGAGCTACCATGGACCTTTTAGAAAATAAAATATTATGTTTTTAAAACAGACAAACTTGTTGTCTGTGGTGTTCTTTAGTCTCCATCATTCATTATTGTTTTATTAATATTCTCTAACAAAATGTATGCCTTGACATAACAGCTGAATTACACACACGTAGTCACTGTTTACTATTTTGAGGGCTTATGAGTAACTTCTGTTTTGTTTTTGTTTTTTGTTTTTACGAGTGTCAGAGGAAAAATGCTGGTTACAAATTTATTGATCTTTTTAAAAAAAAACTTTACCTTACTAAAAATAGAACCCCATGTATTGCATCTGTTCACATCATTCTCTTTTTGTTGGTCTCTGGTCTGTTACATAAAATCATAATTATACAGGGACTTTTGTGGCGAAAAATGCAACAAAGTGTGAAATGTTTTAAGAAACATGAAAATGTCTGCTAACTGCTTTACAGAAAAAAGCCAGAGCTGCACTAATGCATCCAGAGCCCATGGTTTTCAGAGTAACGTGAGCAGATATTCCTACAGGAAAACAGGCAGATGTGTGGGTCAGATGGTTCTGTCAGCAGCTCTATGACATCCATCCGCTAATGATGATCAATTTATACACTAAATACCCATATTCCAAGGATATTACTCTATTTAAAGTGATAAAAATGTAAGTGCATGATGATCCTTCTAGATGATGTCAGGCTTTGGAACGTGGCCCCAGTTTGGTGCACAAGAAACCAATGAGGCTGCAGCATAGGTGGAAGCTGGGCTGGTCATTGAATTCAGAATAGCAGATCAACCTCAGGCTAATTCTGTCAACAGGTTCCTGAGCATGTGTACCGCACCCTCATCTGGTTGGACTGTAGCGTTCATCCCCAACCTCGGCCATTGAGGCCCGCTGTCCTGCAGGTTTTAGAGGTTTCCTTGCTTCAGCACAGCTGAATTTAATTTAATTGAAAGCTGATTAACAGGCTTTTGGTCTACTGCAATCATTATAATCAGCTGTGCTAAAGCAGGGAAAGCTCTAAAACCTGCAGGACAGCGGGCCTCGGGGACCGAGGCTGGGGGTGCCTGTGTTAGCAGGAGCAAACCGAAGGGTCTGAATTGGGAAAACGCCCAATATTAACTTCCATATGAAAGTTACAAAAACAGTTACATATGTTTGAAAGATGTTCCTACTAAAAAAAAAAAAAAACTCAGAGCAAAGAAAGAAAAAAGAATATTATTCAAGATAGAAGAAGGTTTTTTTTTTACATTTTCCCAAACAAACAGAATTTTAAAAACCTGAGATTTGCTTTAAGAAACTACCATGCTTTGATATTATTTTTGAACAAAGGACAGATTAGCAGGGTCAGACTCCTAGGTTACCTCTTTGTCACGATTTCTGTTCCTGCCTGCTATAAAATAAAAAAATCAAATACATTATGTACAAATATTAAATTAACAGAAAGCCATCAATGTCTCTGAACGTCTCAGAAACTCTATTTCTATAAATAAATTCTTTAAAATCATCCTCTCCTTTAGAGGGATTGTCCCTTTAAAAGTGCTATACTTACATTTTTATTTTCTCATATTAACAGCATCTTACATTTATCACAGTTTTCAGAAATCAAAAGCACTAAGAGCAAGCATGCACCTTGTTTCTTTTCATAATGCTAATATAATATTGTAATAAAAAAGTGGTTCACAAAGTGGTCTTTACGTTTATTCAAAAACCTAAAGATAAAATTCATTTTGTTCCCATTTACTTTAACAGTGAAAACTTTAAACATATCCAACTTTATTTCATTTAGTTTTTAATATTTTATTCAAAGTTAATCCAACAGCAGTGATTTTTTTTTTAAGTAATCCATGACCTGTTTTCCTGGGGTATAAATCTAAATTCTTATTTCTCAGAGATTCCCTTTATAGTGGGAGAAACATTGCATTCATGTAAGGTTCTGTTCCATAGCTTTCTATCCTTTTTAGCTGTAAATTAGCCATTAACACAATACATATAAAAACCTGGCAGATATTACTACAGAGCTCAGGGCCTGCATATGGTGTTGAATATAAAAGGTTAACATTTTCCAAGGAATTTCACTTCAGTGACACCCTCCCACAGAATACATTTTAAAAACTTTTAGGATTGCTTATGACAAATTTGAAAAGGAGACGCCATTTTTTCTGTGAATAATTTTCCCACTGTCATTAGATTACTTCCCGATCCAAAAGAAATTGCTTTGTAAAATTGCTTATTATGA